AAATATGGAAGAACCAAACCCCATTTTAATCTTATTAAACAGCAAGCTTTCAGAGCTTGTTACTGCTGATAGCTGGCTTGTATTTATATGTCTAGGAATTGTAAATCAAGTCAAAGATTGGGTTAATTTTCATCCTAACTTCTCTCAAAAACTGAACCATATAGTGTCTGTTAAAATCTATAATGAATCTTGAAACTTTGTAGCATCAAAAAGTATTTCATCAAAATTTGCTCCACTAAGGCTGACGAAAGAATTAAATAAAGAAATCGAACAAACTTGGTTATATGATTAACATTAAAATCTAGAACTCAGCTAATAAATAAACTAAAAACAATATTAAGATCAGTACAGCCTAGTATACAAGTTATTCACAACTCTATAATTTTTATAATATGCCATAACTCATTTTCGTAAAATTTTATTGCAAAAAGATTGTAGAAGGTTTTATAAAGCATTCTTCCATTAAAATTTAAAGAACTTGTTGGATTTGAATTAAAAAAAAGAACACTGCAATTTATCAGATTTTTAAAAAAACTTTTTGTTTCTAATATTGTCGATGCACTACTTTTGTTTTTATTAGGTGTAGATGTGGAAATTATATAACCTTTCAAGATAAGGTAATTTTTTTTACTTTTTTTTTAATTTAGTTTTTATTAAAGATGTTGTTTTAGTGTTGTAATGTGTTCTATCTTTAAAAAATGATATCAGAAATTAATAAATTAAAATGATACTAGAAAAAAAAAAATTTAATGTCATTATCTTTATCTTTAAGAAATCGACAACAGGTTACTGGAATTGAAGTGCCAACATATGTAGGAATAAAATTACAAACCAAAGCCTAGTTTGTTAGCATTGATTTATTTTAAACATTTGTTATAAATTTATGTATGTGTATGTGTGCATATGTGTCTTTTTTTTTATTTAATTTTTTTTTTTTAATTATTTACCTCCGCAGGCCCGAGAAGGCCACTATAGTCCAGGAGGCTATTATTTGTGGTTACAACCCTCTTTCCTTGATATTGAATTACAATATTATGACTATTTTATTAGTTTTCAATTTCTAGTTTTTAAGCTTACAAATTACAAATTGAGGAACATTGGTCTCCCAACCATGTTAGTTTGTACTCCTTAATCCTGGTATCATATCTAGTATCAGATAGGTGTTTACTATTATTACTTTTTTACTATTAGGCCATTTTTTAATATTAGGTGTATTAATATAGAATTAATACATAGTAACTACTACTGGAGAAAAGGTGAGTTTCCACTCATCCGTTTTTTCACGGGAACGGGATAGGAAAGGGAAAAATAATCACATGAGCATGCGTAGTTTTCCTTCGAACATATTAAAACTTATACTACGCATGCCCACGTGATTATTTTTCCCGTCCCTTTCCCGTTCCCGTAAAAAAATGGATGACTGGAAACTCGCCTGAAGATACCACGAATGTTTATGAAAACTTATATAACAAAATAATCTTTATATTTAAAAATATAAGATTTATTTTGTTATATAACTATTCTATCTGGCTATTTCTCTTTAATTTTAATGAGTTTTTTTTAATGCAACATCTAATTATTTGACGCAAACAACTTATAACACTATACATATATATATATATATATACACACACACACACACACACACACACACACACACACACACACATACACACATAGTATTCTAAGCTGTTAGCTTTGAGAGTATTGTAGGCAAAAAAATGATTCTTTTGAGACAACAAATTATGTCACTTTTTAATTACATTGACCTCTGTCCAACATTTCTGTGTTATCTAAAAGCCAAAACTATTAATTAATTGTGAATAAAACGTTTTTTAATTTACTGCAAAAACACAAACTTAATTGACTTTTAAACAATTTGTTTTGTTAGAATAAGCGGGTTCTATTTCCCTTTTGTAATATTGAGAGAATTTAACAAAATTTATTTTATTCTTTTAAATTTTTAAATTAAAAAACAAAATTTGTAATGTTCGTAACACAAAAGATTAAAAAATTAAATTTGTCTAATTGATGGCTCAGAACACGCATTATTTATCATTTATTAAGTAATATAGATTATTATAACATATCTTGATACAAGAATTATAAGTTTCTATCCCATTTTTCATGTTGAGAAATTTTAAGTTTCTAAACGTTTTTTTTTAATTTTAACTTTATTTAATAAAACTTTACTTATAAACAAACAACTTATAAAATTATATAAATAATAAAACTAGTTTTAAAACATAAAAAACACTTCATCAATATAAACAATAAGAATTGTAAAAAATTTAAATAATTAAAAACCAAAAGTTAAATTCTCTCAACATTACAAAAAGGCGATATACATTTTTATATATGCTCCTATATAGGTTGTTTGAAAACACCAAAAATTATGTTTAATATGTCAATCCATTTTTTAATTTCAAGTCATTTAAAATTGACTTTCAATGCATTTAAGTCTAGAAACCTAATGGCAGATTTTATAAAAAATCAACAATACCAGAGATCATAAAGTCTATAATAAGTCTACAGTAAGTCTACAGTAAATCTACAGTAAGTCTACAAGGAAGTCTACAGTAAGTCTAAGTCTTTGATTGTAAAAATCTAGATTTAACTAAGCATGAAATTGATGATACCATACCAATTATATTCCTACAATTTATTTGGGGATACTGGGGGAGATTTCATTGTTTTTATTCATCTAGTTAAGTTGTAACCAAAGCTAAGTTTAAACTATAAAATAATCTCTAGATTGTTGTGACACTTCTTGACACTTCACTAAGACACTTCTTGACACTTCACTAAGACACTTCTTGAAAGATCTACATATCATTTGATGAACAATATATTACATTAAAATGAGGGCAATCTCAATATTTATAAGCACAATTTTTAGTCAACCCTTTAGCTACTCTAAAACTTTTTTTAAGAATATTTAACATGTTTCAAATGGCAGCTTTAATAAACATTTAGTTTTTAATAAAATAATTTTAATTTTAATAAATACAATATGTATTGCTTACAACCTTACATTTGAAAATAAATAAAGTATTGATTGTCAAATGATTAGGTTATAAGCAATACGCTATTATCAAGTATTGATTGTCAAACTTTTAGTATGTAAGCCAAGTAGCGAACAAAGCAATTGCTAACTGTGATGTTCCAAAGTTATTAGCAATCTTGAAAGTATATTATTTAAACCAATCATAATTGCTAATTTTTATAATCCTGAGTAAAAGTGAATTTATAAAAATGAGTTTCATCCCATTTTTCAAGGATGTTGACACAAAACAACCTGATTGAACAAATAATACATTTGCTTAGTTGTCTGCTAGTAAATTTGAATTACCTTAATTAACATCTGTTTTATACAAAAAATATTTAAAACATGTTAATTAAGAGTGTCTTGGTGAACTTTACTATTTTTGTTGCAGTAAATTTGTTATTTTTCTGCAAAAATTTTCACGATCTGGTAAATTTGAGCTAATTTGCCCTTGTTAGCAATACACTATTGTTAAGTATTGATTGTCAAATGATTGGGTTGTAAGCATTACGCTATTGTTAAATATTGATTGTCAAATGCCAAAATTACTAAAGTTTTATTTCACAGTATTTTAACACACATTAAGATAAATAATTAAAATGAAACAAATATAATTTATGTAAAAAACTAAATTAAAAAATATTTATAAATAATTTAATAAATAAGTTACATTTAACTATACACACTATATAAGTTTTAACTTATTGTTTATTAAATTAGTTATTTTTATAAGTTAATTTTATAAAGATCATTAACAAAGTCAATCAAAAAATCATTTCAACACAATTACTATATTGTTATTAAGTTTTGAAATTTTTTGTTTATTTTATAATTTAAAATTGTTTTACATTGTTTACATTTTTACTGCTATCTTACTAAGGATGATAATAAAAACTTTTTTAAGTTATAGTTATGATATAACTCCGAGGAGAAACATATAGAACATATTTTAAAATAACAACAAAAAAATATAGAAAAACATATAGAACATATTTTAAAATAACAACAAAAAAATATAGAAAAACATATAGAACATATTTTAAAATAACAACACTTTTATAAAGACAATTATAAAAATACAAATCTGCTTTATGACATAAATATGCGTTAAATAAGCATTCAGATTAACATTCAAATTAGCAACACAGCATGCCAACATAACATAGCAACATAAACTCATAATAAGGCCTGAAGCATAAATTATGGTTGAGAGAATGAGCGAGAGAATGAGATAAGAAAATTTTAGCTTTATTAAATGTTAAATCTCAAATCAAAATCTTGATGAAATGTTAAATCAGCGATTACTATAATCTGTAAAGGAAAAAATTTCAAAGCTTATATACTTATTTCATATTTATTTTTGAAATGAAAACTTTAACTTGAATTTTTTAAAACTTGTTGTTTTTGAAGAAATTTCTAATGCATTTTATTGTCTGCAATTGTTGTTTCTTTAAAAACTACAGTTTTAAATATATTACAACACCCCCAATTTTTTTAATTGTATTTTCTTGAAAATTTGTCATGTATTGAATTTGAAACAGAAACAAATTTTAACAAGAATGCATAAAACATTATCAAACATTTGTCTACCAAGTACAGGGAAATCACAATTTTATAGTTTCAGAATTTTCATCAAAGTAAATAGATCTCAATAAGTAAAAAAATCAAAAAATTTAGTAAAAAAAAAAATTTAATTTTTTTAAAGGACAAAAAAATATTCATCATCATCATCATCATCATCATCATCATCATCATCATCATCATCATCATCATCATCATCATCATCATCATCATCATCATCATCATCATCATCATCATCATCATCATCATCATCATCATCATCATCATCATCATCATCATCATCATCATCATCATCATCATCATCATCATCATTATCACATAAATATATACAACACTATTGTATAAATTAGGCATAAACTAAAAATAAGTTTACCTTCCATTATTCATAAACAATCCATTATTGATTTGCATTGGTCTGTCTCCTGTTTGATAGTTTAGAGCAACCATTTGAGAACCAATATTCCAGTAAGGAACTGGATCATAATTTGAAGAATCTACACGTGTTCCTCTTGGATAGACACGACTAAGTTGTCGTTGATGATATGTGAGAAAAATTAAGAAATAAAATAACTACAATAAACATATATTGTCATTGTTTTTGACATACTTGTTGACTTAAATAATAATATGAAACTAAATTGTAAAACAGTGTTAGCAAACTCAAATCAAAAATTCATTTATAATTTTATTTTTAATTTTATCTAATTAATGTTATTTACTTTAAAATGTATGTTAGATATTTGCAGAAGAACTTAATATATTAATTATCAAGTATTAAAATATTAAAATTATACAAAATTGACTAATGACACTAATGACATTCTAATGACACTAATGATATCTAATGACACTTATGACATTCTAATGACACTGTGAACTAAATAGATAAATAATTAATTTTTGCTAATTGAGCAATAAACATAAAAGTTATTTTATGTTTCTTTTGAGTTTACTTTCACATAAAAAAAACATTTTAGTTGGCCTCCAGTTTTTCTGTTGAATTGTGCAATTGCAAAACTTGGGGTAAAGGTTGATATTTCATCAAAAAACTCTCAATTGTATTTGATTAAAAAATAATATTCCTGTTTTTTGTTTTTAAATAAAAATTAACTATTTGTGAATGTAATTTTGAAATCTAACATATTTTTATTTGTATTTGAAAAAATGTATTTGGAAAAATCTATTTGAAACAATAAGTTACTTGACTAATAATAATTTTTAAAAGAAAAGATATTTTATAAGTCGATTATCTGATGTCTTTTTGTTAACATACTTTTCAAGCTTTTGCTCTGAAAATGATGACATTTCAAAGTGTTTTCCGTTTTCATAATCTATAACAAAAAAAAACTTTTTTTTTAAATGTTATATTTTAAAATATAATTTAGCTCAAAAAGAAGGTCTTGTTAATACATGAACAAAAACCTGAATTTTTAACATAAATAGCTGAGGCCAATTTAAATCAAATAACAATTTATAAAACATAAACATAAACATATGTAACATGTTTACAAACATTTTAAATAAAACTATAAAAACAACCAAACAATTTTAAACAAAAATCATTATTGTACAATATTTGAAAAAAAGGTTATAACTATTTTTTAAAGTTAATCTGGTGACAGTAGTTGGCAATCAGACTCCAACTCAAAAAAATAAACAATTATATATAAATATGTCTAGAAGTAGTGAGGTTCAACCTTCATACCTCTTGCATACTCTACTACTGCACTAGTCACAGCATAAATCTGTTTTCAGCAATTTTTTAGTACCACAACAGCATATTATATTTACAACTACAACATATTAATAATAAACAAATAACAAAAGTAAAACAGAAATTATAATTATAGATGAAAATAAATATTACTGGTTTCCCTAAAAGGAACAGTGACACAATAAACTATGAGATCAGACAACTCTTTAGCAATATTCTTTTGTTCACTTAACGCACGAATTTTATTCACTGCATTTTCCGCATCAGTTGAAGCTCTCTGAATGCATGTTAACCACTCAACCATTTCCTTTAAGGAAAAAATATATATATTTATATGTGTGTGTGTGTGTGTGTATATATATATATATATATATATATATATATATATATATATATATATATATATATATATATATATATATATATTATTTTGCAATACCTGTTCAGTATCTACAGAACACACAAATTCTCCACTAGAGGTTTTTAAACTAAAAACATAGGGTCTTTGAGGTCTTGAAGTCAAAATTTCTAAATATAAAAATTAAACAATATTTTAGTAACAAAGTTGTCAAAACAATTTACAGTTAAAAAAAATTTTAAACTTAAAGATCGTAATCATTACAAGTGTTACAGCATCATCACAGCATCACAGCAAGTGGTAATTAATTTATACAATGGTAAATTATTTTTTATTTATTCAAAGTTTTTATAACTATTTTTTTTCAAACTTGTCTCATATATTTTTCAAGCGCATTCTATTTTCTATTATATACATAGTATTTATGATACAAATTTCTGATAATATTGCTCTTAACAATATGAATTAATTTAAACTTACGTAGGTGACAACCAGTCAGATTGATTGTGCCTATTTCCTGTGATTCAAGAAGTACGTCAACAGGTTTAGCTTGCTCCTTTGGATATCAATAAAAATTAAGAAATAAATGAAGTAACCAATAATTAATAAAACTAATTAAATAGATGAAGTAACCAATAAGCAAGAGAAAAACACAATAAAGACAAGTAAAAACCTCTTCAGCTTTTGATGGAATTGTGATTTCTTCAGTGAAGTTAACAGGAAACCATTTTTGAATATGACCATTATAATCACCTCGCCACCTAAAAAAATTAGAGGAAATAACTGCAACATTCATGCAAATATACATAAACTCAAGGATTGCAGATACTTTAAATAATTTCAGCATAGTAAAAAAGTAAGCCTACTAAATAAATATCAAATAATAAAAAGTGATGGTAATTATTCAGAAAAAAGTAACGGTAATTATTCAGTAATAAGTAATGGTAATTATTCAGTAAAAAGTTATGGTAATTATTCAGTAAAAAGTAATTGTAATTATTCATTAAAAAGTAATGGTAATTATTCAGTAAAAAGTAACGGTAATTATTCAGTAATAAGTAATGGTAATTATTCAGTAAAAAGTTATGGTAATTATTCAGTAAAAAGTTATGGTAATTATTCAGTAAAAAGTAATTGTAATTATTCATTAAAAAGTAATGGTAATTATTCAGTAAAAAGTAACGGTAATTATTCAGTAATAAGTAATGGTAATTATTCAGTAAAAAGTTATGGTAATTATTCAGTAAAAAGTTATGGTAATTATTCAGTAATAAGTTATGGTAATTATTCAGTAAAAACTTATGGTAATTATTCAGTAAAAAGTTATGGTAATTATTCAGTAAATTACTGTAAACTATTTCAAATCATAAATAAATGTTAACATATTATTTTTGTTAATGTATTGAATTTATCAGTTTAATTTATTTCAACTAAATACTACAATATGTAAAAAATACAATATAATAAACAATATAATATGAAAAACAGTATTAAACAAAAAGATATCAGATGTAAAAAAATTTGAAAATTCAACTTTTTAAAAGTATATAACATTTTTACCAGCCACCATCATATTTCATAATATTTACTATTAATGCGCCTTTTGTAAATGATAACTCATCTTCTTTTTGTGCAGTATAGTCATATTTTGCTTTGCAAGCTTGCTGAATAAAACAAAACATATCTATAAGATTCATTAACAACTAAGTTTATATATAATAAAAAAACAATAAATGATTGAACACAAACATATAGTAAAGTAATTTGTATACCTTTGGCATTGTGAGATTAGGTTGACTATAAACATACTGTTCAGGATCATTAAATGTACCATCAGGATTCTGGAAAAAAAAACTGTATCTGATAAATATAAACTGGTAAATGAAATAAAAAAACATATTACCTTGGTAACCCAAATAAAACATTTTGACTTTACAGTCTGCACAAGGTCAAGTTCTTCCTGAAGATTTAGCTATATTTATTAGGATTACCTATTTCAAAGTGTTCTGTATAAAATATTTTGATATTTTAAATATAATTTAAAATCAAATTTAAATTTCTGAAGTCCATTATTTTAATTATAAAGAACACATTTAAAGGGTCATAGTAAACATTTGTTTATGTTATTTTATCAAGCACCTTATGTATAATATTATTTTATCAAGCACCATATGTATAATATTATTTTATCAAGCACTTTATGTGAAATATTATTTTATGAAGCACCTTATGTATAATATTATTTTATAAAGCACCTAATGTATAATATTATTTTATGAAGCACCTCATATAAATATAGCACCCCAATACATGGAATATAAAGAATGTGCATAAAAAACATTTCATTAAATGTTTAAGTAACTGCTTCAAGTTAAAAAAAAAGTAATTTTATTAGCAGTTAGGGTGGTCTCTTTAAGTTTAAATATGTGATTTCATTAACAGTTATCTGCTTAACTTTAAAAACTTGATTTAAAGCAGCACATAAAAAAATTGTTTCCAATGTGTTTTGAAAATAAAATCTTCATATATATATATACATATATATATATATATATATATATATATATATATATATATATATATATATATATATATATATATATATATATATATATATATATATATATATATATATATATATATATATATATATACAGTAGCTTTCATAAATTTAGACGCATTCATTTTTTTTTTTCATTAGTGTAAGAAAATACTCAAAATAAAAATAAAATAAAAGTGCTACAGCTATGTTTGATATATAATTTAAAAGAGGAAGTAAAACTCTATTAAAGAGTACCTTAATTTTTTTTACAGGATGTTTATTACTTATTCTATACCGATTAACACAAAAAAGTTAATTGATAAGCTTAATTTTATTTTGTTCATAAATTTAGACGCACCATCAAAAAAGTCTTATATCTTGTTAATTGATAGTTAATTAGTAGTTTTTTCCCATATTTATCATTAATAGGCCTAAATTAATTGATTTTGTCAAAAAAACCTTATATAAATATGACTTACCTGGAATTAGTTAATCATTATTTAATAAATAAACAAAAGTTAAGTTAGTTTTGCACTAAAAAGACGTGAAAAATGGGCAAAAGACGTATCACTCAAGGTGAAAGATGGCAAATTATTGCGCACATCAAAGAAGGAACCAAAATTAATAGAGAAATTGCCAAGTTAATTGGATTTTCTGAGAAATGCGTTCGGACAACAAAACAAAACTTTCTTCACACTGGTGGTGCCAGCGAGAAAACGAGGCCAGGTAGACCCTTGTCAACAACCAAAAAGGACGACAGTGTTCGTTTTAGAGCTGTCAAAGCTAATCCAAGAATCAGTTACAAAGAATTGAACACAGAATTCAATACAACGCGAAATACATCTATTTCTCAAAGCATAGTCAGCCGAATATTTATCAAATACAAGATTGAAGTCTACACTGCTTTGAAGAAACCGCTTCTGCGTCCATATGATAAACAAAGAAGACTAAAATGGTGTCGTGAAAAGAAGGTATTGGACAATAGAACAATGGGAAAACATTATGTGAAGTGATGAGAGTAACTTTGAGCTTATCAATCGCAAATCTAACATAAAAGTCAAAAGAATGGCTCACGAAAAGTATTACGCCAGGTAAATTAGACCAACTGTACAAAGTGGAGGAGGCTCAATAAGAATTTGGTTATGCTTCAATTACAAAGGTGTTGGTATGTGCCAAACATACACCGGAAGAATCAACTCCAGACGTAGAAGTACTGGAAAACAACCTAATTCCATCAATTGACCTGCTTATGCTCAATGATAAACCATGGAAACTTCAACAAAATGGCGCTACTGCACATACTGTATACTATACAAAGGAGTGGTTCAACAATAGTAATATCATGGCAATACCGTGGCCTCCATACTCACCTGATTTGAACCCGATTGAAAACATTTGGTCTTAGATTGACCGTGAATTAGCAAAGGTTCAAATTTCCACACTTGGTCAGCTGAAGGAATTCCTTAAGGAGACCTAGTATGAGGTACTAGAAGCAATGTGCGAAAATCTTGTTGAGTCTATGCCTAGAAGAGTTCTTAGTTGTATTAATGCAAAAAGCGGATACACAAAATATTGATTGGTTCATAAATTACGCCTTCTAATGTATCGTGCGTCTAAATTTATGAATAATTTTTATTGTCTCATTTTTTTAATACCATGCAGTTGTACCTAATTATTACTTAGTATTTCATTTTGTTTTTGTAAACTTTTTTTAAATTTTGAATTCTGTATGTATTTATCTAATAAAAAGAAAAAAAACTAAACCGAAATCTTTTTTCGTCATTGTTTGATCGTTAAAAAACTAAAAATTTCTATTCTCAAATATGAGTGCGTCTAAATTTATGAAAACCACTGTATATATATATATATATATATATATATATATATATATATATATATATATATATATATATATATATATATATATATATATATAACTGTAAATGCACATTTACGGTTGTAAATCAGCAATCTGACATCATACTGAAATACATCAGTATGATGTCAGATTGTACAGTGGATGTATGTACTTCAGTACATCAACCAATATATTGTAAGCATTGACTGAGGGTTTTGATTGGGATTTCAATAAATATTTTTCATATTTTTTTGTTTTGTTTTTTGTGAAAATATAATTTTTTATAAACTATAATGCTTTTTTATGAAATATATCTATACGATGAAGAGCTTTTTATAAAATATTAATATAATGTTTTTTTTGATTACTTTTACAACTTTTGATTATTTTTTTTTTTTTTTTTTTTTTTTTTTTTTTTGATGTCTCAATATTTATCGGTGAATGTCTATAGTCTTTATTTTTTGTGATTTAAAGAGAGCATTATTAGGCTGGCATGCACAATTTAAAAACTCAATTTTATTTGCAATTTCAAATAAACTAAAAAATGGCAAAACAAACATTTTATTATATTCTAAATAAAATAATTAAATTAAAATGGAAAAATTAACATTTTATTTAAACTCTGAATACAAAAGTAAAGTAAAAACAACAAAACGAAGGTTTCTGAATAAAGTAATAAAAAAAATGGTGTGTTTGTTTTTTCAAATTTTTAGAAAGATAGTGTTATTTTTTTAATCAAATTTTTACTAAATGTTTGCAGGTTTGTCAATTATTGAACCCTGTTTCTAAGTTTTGTAACTTTTATGCTGACCTGATGCCAATTTAAAATAGTTAAAAAGGTCTCTAAAAATTAGTAAAAAAACACATCTATCTTGAGCTTCAATTATCAGTCTTTCCTTTAGCAGGATCATCAGAAAGATTCCATTTTATCCTGCTAAAGGAGAAACTGAGGGTGGAAGCGCAAGTTAAATAAGTGCTTATTTTATTAATTTTATATATATTGGCATTTCCACAATGGAAGAGATAAATTTTGTGTTTAAAAATTTCTTATTTCAAAAAAATTTTTTTCTCTAATTGTAGTGTAAACACCTTAAAATTATTGTTAAAATAAATTTTGAGTAGAAAATATTCGAACCGAATAGACAAATTTGATGAATGTTAGCAGCTGTTTTTTCTTTTTATTATTCGAAAAAGTGAGTAAAATTTGAGGGCAAGTTATTGCAATATTTTAAACAAAACATATCTATATTTTTGTTTAGAACGAATCTTTGAGATTATATATATGTTTTAAATAAAAAAACTTTTACTCTTTAAAAATAATTCAAGTGTTTTTTTGTCACATACACATCTGCAAAAACTAGATTGCGTCACTGAACTAAAAGCTAAAAAAGTTTAATTATCACAATGAAATTAGGCTTTAAGGCGACATTTTTTTAGAAATTATGTATTTTACTGTAAACTTTTCATCACTATTCAAAAAAAATTTGGTTAAAAAGAATTATATTAACTTATAGTTATAGTTTAAAAGCTGTTGCATGAATATATCAACGGGATAATTAGCGCTTTATAAAATAGCATGGTAAGGAAGTCAAAAATATCATCCATAGGTTCAGATTTCATTCTGGGTTTTATTCGAATAAATTTATCATTTTAGTATTGTGAAGGGCTATTAGTAAATTATTGGATTTATGTTGGCATTTTCCTAAAAAAGTTGTAAATTTTTAAGAAATGGAATCAAAATAAGAAGTAAAAAAAAAAACGTTATGCAGAATACCAAGCTAATTATCTAGCTAATTATAAAGCTAATTAATTGTTTCTCGGAATGCTGATAAAAAGAAAGAAATGTCATGAGTAAGATCTAAAAGATATCGAGAAATATTGAAAGCTGATCCTAATAAAAAATTAAGAGTTTTAAAAAGTCGCGCTCTAAAAAGAAAACTTTTAAATCAATCTCTAAGACCAAGCTCATCCTTTAAAAACATTCAACAAAGAGGAAAAGCATTGAAAAAAGTTTTAAAAGCACTACCAACTTCAAAGAAAAAACAATCTGAAATTCTTTCTATTCTTTCTAATAGCTCTGCTTGTAAAGATAATTTGGGTCTACCTCCAGCATGTTCAAAGCTGTATGGCCTTTCTGAAAGCGATGTTTTAGCAGCTGTAAACTTTTATAATAAAGATGAAGTTTTCCAAGTATAACCAAACAAAAAAAATGTCACGAGAATTCAATTATCTGATGAAAAAGCAAACAATATTCAGATACGTCAGTTATATTATACGCGAAAAGAAGCTTTTGAGTTATTCAAGGAAAAGCACCAGCACATAAAAATTGGACTCAGCAAATTTTGCAACCTTTGTTCATGCAATTTAAAACCAGTTACGAAATTTCCGCATAATGTTTGTGTTTGTAGTTTGCATGAAAATATGCAAACTACTACGATTTGCCTTAGATGCATTAATAAAATCAATTCAATCGTCTTCAATCAAAGTTGAATCTGAAATGATAAATAACTTTGTTTGTGAACCATACACATACGAGTGCGCCTATGATAAATGCGTCGCATGCAAAGGTATGAAACAGTTCGATAAACACTTGCAAACTGTTAATACATTTGGTTTTGAAGTATCCTGGGACGAGTGGAGAAACCCTGAAACTAAAACATATGCAAACATCGAAAAAATTTCAAAAAAGTCTACTGTAACAGAACTCATCCAACACATATCAGCAATGCATGATAAGTTTGTTAAACACGCTTTTTTAAAAAAAACAAATCAACATTTTTTAAAAAACTGAAGGAAGTTTCGATTAGTATTAATTCTGAAATTGCGGTAATTCAAGTTGACTGGGCTGAAAGCGCTAGGTGTTTTTATCAAAATGAAATGCAAGCAGCGCATTTTGGTCAAAATCAAGTTTCTATTATGACCCTTGCAGTCTGGAACATTGAGTTAAAAACATTTGCCATAGTTTCTGATTCAACTGATCATACAAAGTCTTTTGTTATACCACACATTGACAAAATCCTTCACTTTATTCCTGATCAAGTCAAAGAAGTACACATGTTCAGCAATAATGCCACTTCTCAGTTCATAAACAAAAGCATTTTGGCTTCAATGGTTGTGTTCGAAAAATATTTTCATAAAAAATTCTACTGGCATTTTTTTGCAGCGATGCACAGGAAAGGAGTGGTTGACGGAATAGGAGCTACTGTTAAGCGAATCGCAGCCCTGAAAGTTAAATCTAGTCAATGCGAGATTAGGTCAGCAGCAGATTTTGTGTTAGCATTACAAAATTTGCAAATACCTGTAATTCATATGTCAGAAAACGACACAAGACAACAAAAAAATGAACTTGGATTCAGTTCAATTATTCAAGAAAATCAAGTTATTCAAGAAAAATCAAAGATATATCAAAACCGCATTATTTTTATGTTCAGAATGATGTTGTTCCGATGCTGTTTTCACCTGAGTATAATTAAAATTTATTACAAAATTTTTGAAAATGATTTTAACTTCATCTTTTTGTTTTGTCACTGAATGTTACGTCACTGAACTGATAGTTATTTCTGTAAAATAAAACAATATGAAAACTTTGTTTGTGGCTTTTTTTATGACTGCCTTATTGCCAATTGAGTAAATTATAAAGAAATCTAATTTGTCTAGCAAGAATTAAAATTTCAGCGAAAACTCCATTTAAAAGTACGCTGATAAAAAAACACTTTTTCTGTGTTGTGTCACTGAACTCATGTTTTAATTTTTTTTATGTGTCAGAGTTATGTTTATACAATTGTGTTTAATTTATATTATAAAATTTTAATTTAAGAATAATTTAGAGTAATAAAAAATTATTTTGGAATTATAGAAAATATTTTATTAAAAAAAGTTTCTTTGCATGATGCGTCACTGAATTATGGAATTGGCCATATATATATATATATATATATATATATATATATATATATATATATATATATATATATATATATATATATATATATATATATATATATATATATACTATATATATATATATATATATATATATATATATATATATATATATATATATATATATATATATATATATATATATATATATATATATATATATATATATATATATATGCTGTCTCATGCCAAACCTTCAGTCGATGTAGCAGCACTCTTTTGCTGCAGCAGGCTACTTCAGTGTAATATCACTGAATTTTGATATCACAAAGAAGTTATTTTATACTTTTATACTTATTATACTGAAACATAAACAAAACTGAATACATAAACGCATTTATAGTCGTGTATATAATTATGAATGTGTATTTAGATAACGTCTCTGACATTACACTGAAATAGCCTGCTGCCAGAGGCTTCAGTACATACATAAACTATCTTATAGCCTGCAGTTACAAAGGAGTACCGCTACATCAAATGAAGGTTTGTCATGGGGTAGCAATCTTTTGTTTTATTATTTTTCTTTTTCTAAAAACACTGTATAAATTAATGTAACAAAAATAGGGTAACATTTTATTATAAAATGGGGCAGCAATCTTTTCTTTCATTATTCTTTGTTTTTTTCTTTTGTTACTGAAAAAGCTGTATACTGTAAAGATAGGCAAAACTAGTAAGAAATGTTTATATAAGTATGTTATAGTAGATTTTTTTATTTAATAGACTATAAGATAGTCAATGTAGCAACACTCCTTGCATGTTCAAAAATAAAAACAATCTGTGTGTTTTTAAAAACATTCAAGTACATTAGAGTAGTTAAGAACCATTTTTTACCGCAAATGTTAAGTTTAACACCTTTACTATAGGTGTGTGTGTATATATATATATATATATATATATATATATATATATATATATATATATATATATATATATATATATATATTGTGGTAAAAATAGCTCTTAACTACTCTAATGTACTCAAATGTTTTTAAAAACATACAGAATGATTTTATTTTTTTACTGTAGAACATGCAAGGAGTGTTGCTACATTGACTATCTTATAGTCTATCAAATAAAAAATTTTTTTTAAAAAGAAATGTAACATTTTACTTTTTTTTGTTAACAAGTTTGTTATTGAATATTTATTTTATATTAAATAAGATTTTATGCGTTAAAGATATGGAAAGAAACCTTATAGTAATTTCAAAATACTTATATATAAACCTGCTTTAACATGAATATATTCAAAATACTTATATATAAACCTGCTCCTACATGAATATATTATAATTACATAAATTCTAAAATTTAATAAAATTTAACCATACATATATACCATACATATTTAACCATACATATATACAAACCATACATACATGTTTTCTTGTGATTTGCGCTTGTGATGAGTTGACAATATATTTATGTCTCATGAGTTGACAATATATTTATGTCTCATGAGTTGAAAATATATTTATGTCTCATGAGTTGAAAATATATTGTCTCATGTCGCAAAACTTAAACTTATTTGACTATAAATATATGTAGTATGATTTGATGATATATTTATGTGTTGTAATTCAACATTATATTTATGTACATAAATTATTTGAAAAAATATTTAAATGTGTAATGAAAACAAACCATTCCAAACTCTTGGACTACATCTTGATTACAAGGGTACTTAAGCTTTGTCTTTCTGTAAAGTGGATTCTTTTCATAATGAGCAATTAACTCTGTAAGACTTTCAAATGGAGCTGTGCCAATCATAAATAACCGCCCTTCCTTTTTGATAACACAGTGCTTAATGGTACCTCCAGTTCTAAATAAAATTCTATCTTTTCAAAAAGATTTCAGATGAACAAAATGAAAAGATTTCTTTTATTTATCATGTTTTGCAAAAAAAAAAAAAAATTTGAATTAACCGAAATGATATTGCATATGACTCATTCTGATCTCCATCATTTCGTTTACGAACCAAAAAATATGAATCTTTTCGCATTCTTCTCAACATTTCCTCTGCTTGAAGTCGAGTAAGATTCTCATGATACCAACTGCACATAAATTGAAAATAATTTTATTGAGTAGGAACTAAATTTAACTTTTTAAATTTTTCAAATTAAAATTTTTTAAATATAAAACATACTCTTTTCCTAGATGTGCATTAGGCTTAAAGAAAAAAACAATAAAATAAATAAAAATCTTTAAAGTATTTAGTTTATTTAAAAAATTAAAAATACTTAATACAATAAATAATCACTTGTGGGTACAACAAAAATTTACCTGAGGAACAGGTTCAGTAAGCATTAGTTCAAACTTATCTGATTTAAGTGGATTAGTCTGGTAATGATTAATCAAACTATACAAGTTATCAAAACCTTTTGGACCAACTAAGAAGTATTTTGCAGTACCATCGTTAGTAGGACGTGACTTTATATGGCAATGTTGAACACGATTCTTTCGCCTGCAAAACAAACACATGTTGGTAACAAATAACAGCAGATTATGGTAGATTTTTTTAGTAAAAAAATCCCTGATAACACTTTTCATAGAATTAAGGCATTGCAGTAGAAGCATAAAAGTGCTAGCTTCATAAGCAAAAAATGGAGGTAGTAACACATTCAACTTGTTTCTCCACACAGCAATGTTGTTCATTTAATTTGTTTTATATATAAAAATTAAAAAAAAAAAATTAACAGTCTTGTCAACTTAATGGAATTTCGCATTGAGCAAGTGAATGTTCTCAAAAAAAATAAATAAATAAATAAAATAAAATAACCATCAAACATAAAGCTCACCAAAAAGATAACGAGAAATCTCCTACAAACATATTACTTGGCCGTACAAGGAATGATCCATCACCACGCTGATACTCTTGAAGCAAGCTTTCTGCTTCTTGGCGAGAAATATTTCGATGAAACCACCTAGATTATAATATTAAAAGAGTATTATCATTTAACATCAAATATATATATATATATATATATATATATATATATATATATATATATATATATATATATATATATATATATATATATATATATGTATATATATATATATATGCATACATAAGTTAGTGTATTCTACAAATAGAGTCCTCAATGTTCTTAAAAAACAAACCAAGAATAAATTAAAATAAAAATACTAACTTTTCCGAAAAATGCAAGTCTTCATCACCGCCCTGAAAAAATCATAATTTTTATTATACTATATATTAGTTAAACATTAAATGGAGAATTATTATTCTGATCAAAATCACTAACAGCTTTTTTATCAGCATCACTATTTTCATCATCATTGTCATCGTCATCTTCTGCTGCCTCTTTGGAATCAGAGTAATACAGCACCCTTGATGTCAAAACAAAAAAATGTTTGTTCCATTTCTAAAAAAAAAAAAGTTTTATTTTGAAAAAACTCTTTAGAATCAGAGTAATACAGCACCCTTGATGTCAAAACAAAATTTTCCATTTTAAAAAAACTGCTTAATAACGCTACAAAAGAATACAACAAATTAAACAAAGAGTTTTTAGTAAAAAGTTTTTACAATTATTTTTTAAATTATTGCACAAATAAGGATTGAATTTAAATACAGTTTGTATTCAATTTTAGAAAGAAAAAAAATAAAATGTTTAAACATAAAATTAGCTATACTTTTATCAGTAGGCTAAGCTGAAAGTCTCCTATATTTTTATTTTAAGTATTTATTACTGATCTTGTCAAAAATGTTGTGAAACTTATGGATTATTCTGAAAAGAAAAATCAAGACATTTAGAGTACAGGAATTTACCAATTTTTAACATAGAGTCCTTATGTAAAATGACACTTAGGACTCTATGACAGATACAGGGGACTCGAAGACTCTGGGACAAACAAAAAGAGGTTCTAATACTTAAAATAACCTTAACTTTTTTAAAAATGTAATCCATAAGTATCTCAACATTTTTATTGCTTCTAGACATCAAAGAATATGAATATATAGTGGTTTTGTAACTTTCAAAACTAGAGTCCATTTTGAAACTTCACATCTTTGTTAGAAAATCTTAGAATGTTTCAGTATTTGATGTTGTGTATGTGATTTATTATTGTGTATGTGATTTATTATTCTGTATAAGTTTAACATTTATTAAAAAGTAAAAATTAGGAACATACTTTTTTACTTTGAAAAAAAAAGTTTTTTTATTCTATTTTTAACTAGTTGGTTTAAAACCAGCATGAACCAATAAATGCTGATTGGTCAATACTTCATCAATAAGTACTCAATACAGTAAATGCTGATTGGTCAATAACTCATCAATAGGTACTCAATGAGTTGATTTGGCTAGGTCTTTTACAAGGTCCTACTCTGAAAACTCTTAATTTGGCAACAATATATGAGATATTTGGCATGTTATTTACTCTAACTTTGGAATTTATAGATCTCTTTAAAGAATGACATCACTGTTTTCGCGTAATGAAATCAAGCCAGGTAAAGGCAGAATAAGTATTGATCATTAATTATAAAACTCCTTAATAAATTCAACAATTATTTCTTGATGAAATGCTTAAGGTAAAGATTTTGGTTAAATTCAAGACTGCAGAGGAAAAAGTACAGTTTTAACATCCCTTTATCAGAAATTGATTAAATTACATTAATCGATTAATAAATTGTAAATGATTAAATAAAAAATCATAATTGATTGTGCTGGAGTCTAAGTGAATTCATAAATTTCCTCACAGATTCTAACAGGCAATAACATCTTTAACATATTCATTTTTTGAATATGCCAAAGATGTTATTGCCTATTATGCATTGTTATGCATTGGTATTTTTTTCATTATACATATACTTGCCTTTATTAAACAAGTAATTAATTACAAACTAATTAATTTAACTAACCAAGGAAAAAATAAAGACAAATGGAATTTAAAAGGAGATAATTTCTCCTTTCGTACCCGTAAAACCTTACTCTACAGTTATTCTCTAATGTAAAGCATCGTATTTTAACATTTGTTGACGTGACATTATTATGTTACTTTTATTTTTACTTTTATTTTTCAAAAACAAATTCAGTAAAAATTAACAAGTTCAAGTATGCACTTTATGTTACCTTTCTTTTTATTTTTTTCCTCAAGTGTTTTCACATGACATTAACAAACTATGCATAACATAAAAAATTATGCATGAATTTGTCTAAAAGTTATATAATATGATATTTATATATATATATATAAAAAGTATAAATATACATACTTTATCCTCATCTTCCATGTAAATTAGTCCTGTTTTCAATGAGCTGGCTAAAAAGTCCTCATCTAACACTAAATTTTTAAAATATATAAAAAATAAATATATAGAGATGTTAAACTAACTATAAATCTTCTATATTAAAAACTGTAAAATAGTTTTATAAGTAACTAAAATAGAAAAATAGATTTAAGACAGTAAGATTTATTTACAACTGTAAAATCAACATAATGCATGTTATACATTATCAGTGGCAGACTGTCCATTAGGCTAACTAGGCTGCAGCCTAAGGGCCCGTGCATGGGCCCCATGGCCCCATGACATAGTTGTGCGTCTATCATTTATAATCTATCAGTCTATCAGTCAGATTCAGGCTTTGATCATATGCAATGACCATACGAACATTATAATGTTCCTAAGTTGTTGGCACCCCCATTTTTATTTCATAAAAACTAGCCGGAATTATATAAAATTATTTTATTACCTATAAAAAAACAAAAATTTGTTATAAAAACTTGTTTTGATTTGAATAATTAACGCAAAATAACCCTAAAAAATTTTTTTATTAATAAGAATGTTTTTATGGATTTTTTAAGTTTTTATAACAAATTTTATTTTTGTGGACTGAATTCAGTCCATAAAAACATTAAACACTGTGACAGCAGTATGGTGTTTCATATAAAATTTGAACTGTTTAGTGTTTTGCAGTTACCAATATCAGTCTTTGAGTAATTAAAGTTGGATATACAGTATTATACTGACCTTTTGTGAAGTCAATAAAATGTCATATCATCAAAAGTCAGGAGCTGTAAAGTGTCATGAAAGAAAATGTACCATAGAAGGACACGCAGAAATAATGTGAAAAACTGTTAAGCTCACGGAGATGTTTGGGAAGCAACATTCAGTAACAGTTACAGAACAAATGCCTCTTAATGATCCTTCTACTCAAAATTATGTGCCTTAGGCAAGTATTACAGTTATTTGAGGGTTGGGTGAGTATGTAGAACATTGTATATAAACATCTCAGTTTTTATCAGTATTACGAGGTACAGCATTGCATTCTCCCCGGTGTCTGCGAAACGTTTCTTAACATCAATGTTGCATTTCGGATATACCTGACTCTAGTGGTTGCTAATTGCTATAAATTAAATATACGCACATCAACATATTATTATTTTTTCTATCAGATAGGTAATTTTTGCACAAGAGGCTCTAAATTTGCCATTAGCCTAGGAGGACAAGATTACTTAGTCTGCCACTGTACATTATATATACAAACATGTGGATATATATAAATATAAGGCAAAAATTTCTATATAATTTTAATAAGCTATGTAAGCAGAACTTTGAAAAGGGGGAAAATATTTTATAGATTTATTATATCAATATAAGTTTTATAAATGTATGCTGTATACCTTAGTAATAGTTTGACTGTATAAAGTTAGTAAAATTTTGACAATTTAATGGTTTAGGTGTCATTTAAATCAGACTGCAATATATTTATTGATTGATTTATGTTTTTTGGTCTATAACTTAACACTTTTACATTTAGAAAAATATTTATTATGATATATTTTAAACCATGTTTACACAATTTGTATATTTTGTTTCTTCCTCCATTTATATATATATATATATATATATATATATATATATATATATATATATATATATATGCAACCTCCTAATGCAACCTCCCTCAATCCAATAAAACTCATCGAACTCTCCTTACTTGCAGAAAACAACTACTTTGACATTATTTTTATAACTGAGACATGGTTCAACGACCAATCAACTTCCTCTCTTCCAAACTACAACCTCTATCGTTTAGACCATCTAAACCAAATCAGAGGAGGTGTAGCTATATACACAAAAAATAAAATCATCTCAAACCAACTACAGGAATCCCTACTACACAGAAATTTTATTTGTTACTATTCAGAACAATTATGAGTCGAACTAAAGCTTCTGAATGAAACTCTGCTTTTAGACTGCATTTATAGGCCTCCATCTTCTGGTATCGAAGCCTCATAGATTTCAAGTGCTATTTTCCATGCCGAAACATCAGTATCGACAAAAAAATATAATGGTATGATTATTGCTGGTGATTTTAATTTCTGAAAGAAAATTCTTGGACTTCCAATTCAGTCTTCTCTTCTAGTAAAACCGGTCTCAGTTCTTCATTTGTCTCTCTTCATCAAGATTGTCATCTTTACCAAATCATCACTATCCCTACTTTCAAACCTGCTAATTGCCCTATGACAAATACTCTTGATCTCATAATATGTGACTGTCCATATCCTGCTAACGAAGTCAACATTGGTCCTCTCCGTTTGTCTGATCAATATCATTGCTCTATCACCTGGCAATACAAACTGGCTTCCACTGGAAAATTATCGCATTTCAACAGCTCTAAATTTATTTACAACCTTGGTAAATACGAAAAAATCAACAAAGAATTCAATAAGGTTGACTGTTCATCTATTTTTAAAGAATTAAACGTAGAACAATGTTACCAAATTTGGCTAAACAAATACAATGAATGTTGTCTTCAATTCATCCCTTGCATGCCGAACAAACCATCCCCAAATAAACAACCATGGATGACAAAAAAACTTTTATCCCTGAATCGTCTTAAAAAATTGCTGTGGACTCGTAATATCAGTTCAAAATGGAAAATCGCATCCCTGGTTAAAAAATATAGAGAAACTAGAAAGTTTGTTAAAAAATTAAGTTGCTCTTCGCTGAAATCTTTTGAAATTGCTCTTGCAAATAATAAGCGCAACCCTAAAAGACTATTTTCATGCATAATTAGTAAATGCTTTGTAATAAATCAGATCTCATCTATGCAAATCATCAGTTCCAGTGAAATCATTACCTATGACAAAATTAAAATAGCTAACTCGCTTAACAATCAGTTTCAAGCAGTTTTTAGCAAAGAGCCATCCAATGGCAATCTTCCCCATTTTGATCGCAGAACTAACACAATCCTCAACAACATAACTTCTGACACTCAGGCCACTCTAATTGAACTCTCATCACTAGATATATCTATATCACTTGGTGTAGACAATGTAAGTTCTCACGTTTTACTCTTTTGTTCTACCTCAATGTATACTCCACTTACTCTTATCTTTCAAAAGTCATTTTACAATGGTGAAATTCCAAACTCATGGTCCAAAGCAAATGTAACACCTTTATTTAAGAAGGGCTCCAGAATCGACCCATCAAACTACAGACCAATATCTCTCACCTTGACTCCATGTAAAATAATGGAGAAACTAGTTAAGAAGACAATCATGCAGCATCTAAAATCAAACACTCTTCTATTAAATAGTCAGCATGTCTTTTTATAGAAAAAAGCATGCATTACAAATCTCCTTAAAACAATGGATTTCTTAACTTAAAATTTGGAAAGAAAAATACCAGTTGACGTCATATACTTGGATTTTGCCAAAGCATTTGACAAAGTGCCACATCAACGAATGCTTTACAAACTGTAATCTAAAATGCTTTACAAACTTTAAAATGTAAAATAAAATGTACGCAATCGAAGGTAATCTTCTCAATTGGATAAAAGCTTTTCTACTAACAGGTCTCAACAAGTCATCCTTGGTGACACTCATTCGAATTGGTTACCTGTGACAAGTGGAGTTCCGCAAGGATCAGTCTTGGGTCCAATTTTATTTGTCATTTTCATCAATGATCTGCCAGATGTAATAAGCAAAGAAAACATTTGTAAGATCTACGCTGATGACACTAAAATTCTGAGCATTGTTAACTCACTAGCTGCTCAACTTTTTTTTTTTTTTTTGCTCAATCAGATATTGACCAAATTGTTCATTGGACTAAGTCTTGGCTCATGGAGCTAAATGCAAAGCAATGCAAGGTCATGCATTTTGGCTAAAAAAAATTAACTCCTTTCAAGTACTCAATGGAGGAAATATGCCCTCGTTCAATAACGACTCAAACTACATTGGAAGCAACCACCTCTGAACATGACTTGGGAATTCAAATTACCTATGAACTTAAAGTAGAAACCCAATCCATCATTGCCTCATGTAAAGCAAATAAAATGCTAGGCATCCTAAAACACACTTTCCAGTCTCGTGATGCTTCTTTATGGAAACAACTTTACTCCACCTGTCCGTCCTTTACTTGAGTTAGCAATTCCAGCTTGGAACCCTCATTTGGTGAAGGATGAATAAACTGTTGAGCTAATAAAGCGCAGAGCCACAAAAATACGAGACAAACTGAAAAAGTTAGACTACAAGTCCAGATGTTTACAACTTGGCCAAACTACTCTATTTGAACGTCGCAAACGAGGTGGCCTCATCCAAAAATACAAAATTGTTAATAACATTGACATAATCAACTGGCACTTTCCCCTCATCACCAAGAGCAAATCACAGAGAAAGACTTCATCGTGAAAAGTACAGCAACAATCTAGCTCGCTTCCACTTTTTTAACAACCGCATTGTCAATGCATGGAACATGCTACCAGATAAAGTAATCAATTTTCCAACTGTAAACAGTTTTAAAGCAAGCCTTGATAAGCTCTAATGTTACTACAGTTTGCAGCTTTCCTTAGTGAAAATTGCAATATGAGCTTCACAAAAACTAACTGTACTTTGACAATCTATGATTTGTATTTTGTCAATTATTTTTATTTTTGTTGTAACAAATATATACTACTACTACTACTACTACTAACTACTACTACTACTACTACTACTACTACTACTACTACTACTACTACTACTACTACTACTACTACTACTACTACTACTACTACTACTACTACTACTACTACTACTACTACTACTACTACTACTACTACTACTACTACTACTACTACTACTACTACTACTACTACTACTACTACTACTACTACTATATATATATATACACCCTATAATAAAAATTTCAGACAAATTTAAATTGCATTTATTATGTAATTTATTTCATGCACACAAAAAACCTTTATACTTGTTTGAAAGAGGATTTTATAATCCATTTAAATTTAATTTAATTAAGTTTAAATATTAAAAATAAAATGGTCAAAGTTAAAGGA